GAACTCACTTGGTAGCCCAGGCTGGCCTCGAACTCACAAAGATCCGCCTGCCTCTGCCTCCCGAGTGCTGGGATTAAAGGCGTGCGCCACCACCGCCCGGGGCCATGGCAACTCTTATAAAGGAAAACATTTAATTGGGGGTGGATTATAGTTCAGAGGTTTGTTCATTGTCATCAAGGCAGGAAGCATGTCGGGAAGCAGGCAGACATGGTGCTGGAGAGGTAGCTGAGAGTTCTACATACAGATCAGCAGAGGTATCGCTATTCTCAATTCTCTGGGAAGGGGCAAGACTAAGTTTTTTTGCTCATTCGAATCACTCTTGTCTCACACTGAGTTCCCGGAAGCTGTAGAGGGGTGCTGGACCATATCTGAGGTCCTGGATACAGGGTCTGGAGAGCGGGGCTTTCGCTTTCAGGGCGCAGCCAGCCTGGGATGCCCCACAGGCTAGCAGGAAGTGAGAGTGATGCTGGGCCTGGCTTGAGCATTTGAAACCTAAAAGCCCACCCCCAGTGACACACTTCCTCCAACAAGGCCACATCTGCTCTAACAAGGCCACACCTCCTAGTAGTGCACTCCCTATGAGCCTGTGGAGGCCATTTTCATTCAAACCACCACAAGAAGAAATGGGTCTACAAGTACAGTTAACTTGCAACTATTCTTAAAGCTGGTAGAGTGCAACAGGGCATCACAAAAGGGGTGGGTGAGATGGCTCAGTAGGTAAAGGCGCTTGCTCCGAAGTCCAAATACCAGAGTTTGAGCCGCAAGACCCACAGGGCAGAAGAGAACAAACTCCCACAAAAAGACCCAATACATGAGAGTTCAAGAAGCCTTCCAAACGTAGACTCTTCAACACTTGATTACTATTCCTGGAAACCAAGGAGTAGAGCAGGTAGACGGTAACTGTGGATAGAGTTCCAAAAGAGCCTTTTCAATGGGGAATTATAGAAAGTATCCAACTGGCGCACGAATGCAGAGAAGTAGGCAGCAACTTTTGAGTAAATGCAACATCCTTTTGGGTTTTTTACTTTTTAAGAAAATTGACAAGGCCAAAGTATCGCTATTCTCAATTCTCTGGTAAGGGACAAGACTAGGTGTTTTTGCTCATCCGAATCACTCTTGTCTCACACTGAGTTCCTGGAAGCTGTAGAGGAGCGCCGGACCGTGTCTGAAGTCCTGGATACAGAGGGTCTGGAGAGAGGGGCTTTCGTTCTCAGGACGCAGCCAGCCTGGGAAGTCCCCCAGGCTAGCTAGCACTGGCTTAGACGCACACTTACTAAGCAGAGCGAGCTGCAACCCCTGGGGCTCAGGCAGCTACAGGGCGGGGCTTGCCTAATGGGCGGGGAGAGACGGGAGGTGCGGCGCGCGCAGCAGCTCGGGGCGGGGCGGGGCGGGGTCGCCGTCGTGCGCGCACGCGCCAATCACAGATGCCGCGAGATGGGTGCTCGCCGAGAGGCTGGGGGAAGTAGAAGGGCGGACTCGAGAGCTCTTAGCCAATCACCACGCAGCGCCGCCATGACGCGCCGCTCTCCCGGGCGCCAAACTCCAGTCGGCGGGCCGGGTGGGTAAGGGCGCCGGGGTAGGGCGCGGGGCCGCGCGGGGGTGGGACTTCCGCAGGGCCCCGGAAGTGGGATCTGTGTGTTCTCATGCGAACGGGAAGGAGCGTTGGGGATCTGGAGTCTCGAGGTTGAGACATTTTCGGGCCCGAAAGGGGAAGGATCAGCTGCCGCCGCTGCCGAGCCCGCGCCCCCTCTTCTTTGCTGTCTCCGGCCCGGCCCGGCCGTGCCGCCTCTTCTTGCCGTCTCCCTCCTCGGCCGTCCCCGCGTGTTTTGCGCGGTCGCCGGGCACCGGGGCTGCGGCGACGAGCCCGCGGGCGG